CATCATCATCATCATCATCATCATCCTCTTCCTCCTCCTCCTCCTCCTCCTCCTCCTCCTCCTCCTCCTCCTCCTCCTCCTCTTCCTCTTCCTCCTCCTCCGCCTCCGCCTCCGCCTCCGCCTCCGCCTCCGCCTCCGCCTCCGCCTCCTCCGTCTCCTCCTTCTTCCCCCACGCTGCCAGCGCTGCCAGCGCTGCCCAGGGCAGGCCACATGGCGCCCAACCCAGAACCGATCGAGTAGTGCAGGTCCGATATGTCCTCGACGCCCCCCTCCCGCGGCCGTTCGACGCGTGCCCGTGGTGCCCCCGTGGAAGACGCGGATGTACGCCGCGTTGTCCCCGGCATCCTCATCCACCATCCGCCGAGGAGCGCGCCGATCAACATGACTGCGGCCTTCCTGACGTTCGTCGTCCTGAACTTAGACGCGTGCCGGCCGTCGCGGGATCCTCAGTCTGTATGCTGCGAACGCCTCATCACTGCAGCTCGATTCTGGCGCGGTTCCCGCTGTGACGGCGGTGCCGCCAGCTGGTGCTGTGCGTGCGATGCTCAAGGTGGCGCTCGGCAGTTTCTCGGACGAGGCGGTGGCCCGTGTACAACGCCTTCAGTGTTTGTACAATGGTCCGCCGATCTTCCGACCCCATCCGTCGCCAGATCCCAGGGGGGCGGGGGTCTGGGGGTGCAGCGCTGGCCTCGCCAACGGGTCGGAAGATCAGGCGGGCCCCCAGGTCAGGTGATCCGAGGCGACGGGAACTCCAAGCTCGCCAAGCGAGTGTGCCATCGTGTGGGGCTCGCGCTTTCACTTGCAGCCGTTCACCGTTGTCTTTGCGTGGACCAGGACGGACGGCAGCCTGCTGAAGCCCGCCACCCTGAAGCGCGGCGAGACGGCCTCCGCCGTCGTCGGAGACCTGTCGCCGATGCTGGACGGCATCAAAGCCGCCCGCCTCGCCGCGGACCCGCCGCCCGAGGCGTGCGCCCCCCTCTTCCACGCCGCGGACAACTTTCGGGTCGGGCGAAAGGGGGGGATAGCAAAGGGGGGGTTTGAGAATCAGCTCACGTAGCTGATTTTCCCGGCGCCTCCCGGCGCCGGAGGCGGCCATGTATCGAGGAATGGGCCCCTCGGTGAGGCCGAAACCAACTGCGTGCAGCAAATTTCGTAACCCCCCCTTTCCCAATCCCCCCTCTTCGTCCGACCCGAAACTTCCAGAGCCACCGCGTGCGGCTCGGGGCCCTGTGCAGGCAGCAGTGGCCGGAGCGGAGCCTCGGCCCACCGGAGCCCGAACGGCAAGTCCGCGCGGGGCGCCCGCGGATATACGGCCGGGTGGCCGTGGCCCTCCGCGCGCCGGCGTCGGATCGACTCTCTCTCGCGGCGACCTTTTGTTGCCCGCGGCGAATTTGGACAGGCGTGCGGCGAAAGCGGTGCAGGCTCGGCGGAGGGGCGGGCTCAGCTGCTGGTGGGAGGTACGGATCCCTCACGGCATCCTTGAGCGAGCAACGACATATGTACATGTACGCCCTCCGCGGTCTTGAGTGCACGAACGTCCTCGTTCAAACGCCCTCCAGGGGAAGCTAACCGCGTACGCATACATATGTTGCTGGCCTCTGAATCCTGCTCCACGTCGCCCACCTCCGGGTGGAGGCAGGGATCTGTGACAGCAGATTGCGGGCGCGCCCGGGGGCTCCAGCTGCGGCCCGCCACGGGTTGAGCCCGCACGGCTACGGGTGCTTCTGATGCTGGCGATGGCGAGGTTATGGACATGACTTCCTCCTCCTTCTCTTCCTTCTCCCACTACTCATGCTCCTCTTGCAACTCCCGCAATCACTCGCGGACACCATCCTGGAGCGCTCTGGGCTCATCTTGGTTTGCTTCCGAGGTCATGTAGGAACAGCGTCGCGCGGTCAAGCCAGCGACCGAAGGGACCGACAACGCGTCGTTTGGGCCGACCTTGCCTTGTGGGTCCCTTCAGTCGGCGGCTGAACGGACCTTGAGGCCGCTTGGGGGGGGGATCTGGACAACCGTGGGGCGTCCACGCCGCTGCGCCGCTACACCGCTACACCAGTACACCGTTGCACAATGAAAATGGAGTGCAACGGAGCGGATCAGCCCCCGTAGACGTCCAGACCCCCAGGTGTCAATAGTTTAACTCATCGCGTGGCCCAGCCAGCGACCGACGGGACCTACAAATCATTTTGTTTGAAAACTTGCTTTGGATATTCTTTCGGTTGGCGGCTGAACGGACCTTGGGCTGGACAGCTGTGAAGCGCAACGTGGCTCGTTGCGGGTAACGGCGTAACGGTGTAAAGGTGTAACGTTACACCGTTGCGGCTAACGGTGCAACGGTGTAACAGTGTAACGCTACACCGTTGCCAGTAACGGTATAACGGTGTAACGGTGTAGCACTGCACCGTTGCGGCCAAAGGTGCAATGGGTAGCGTTACACCGTTACACCGCTAGCGTAACAGTGTAACGGTGTAACGGTGTAAAGTTAAACCGTTGCGGCTCACGGTGTAACGGTGTAGCGGTGCAGCGCTGCACCGTTAGCGTAACGGTCTAACGGTGTAACGGTGTAACGTTGCACCGTTAGCGCAATGGTGTAACGGTGTAACGGTGTAACGGTGTAAACAAAAATAGAAGTTACCCGGATTCCACCAAAATTCAAAAACAAAAACAAAAACAAAAAAAAATAATAAACACATATGTGTATATATACATATATGTATATATGTGTGTAGGACGGCGACTCCCAGAAGGTCGCAAAGAAGGTCCAAGATTGCTCCACGAGGCGTCCAGGAGGCTCTCAGGGGCCTCCAGGTTCACCAGTGTTAGGCTCTCTTCTTTGTGGCATGCCATGCACGTCCATCTCCCGACAGCTTCCCCGTGCACCGCTTCCGGAAGAGCGATCTCCCTCCCTCCCCAGACACCGGTGCACCCATCGGTGCAGGGATGAACGCAGCCCTGGGGTCCTCCACGGGCGCCGGGGCCCTCGGAAACGACTCGGGCCGAGGAGCTGGCCTCGGAGACTGCCCGGGGGCTGGGGCCCGTTTTCCCGAAGGCCTCGCCTCCGTGTCACTCGTGCTTCGCGTGTCGTGCTCTCACGGGCTGCCGGGCACGGGCGGAGTGCGGCCAGGGGGGGAGAGGTCGGGAGGGCGCGGCAGCTGCAGCGTCGAGGAGAAAGAGAACAGAAGCCACGCGCAAGGGAGGAGGAGGAGGAGGAGGAGGAGGAGGAAGAGCAGGAGGAGGAGGAGGACGTGGGCGACGACGGAAACGACGAGTAGTGCAGATCTTGCGATTCGGAGAACGAGAAGAACAACGAGGAGGAGGAGGGACAAGACTGTGGCCAGACGGGGAAAAAAGGAGTGCCTGCCACCGACCAACGCCAGCGCCAGCACCGAAGCGCCCAGCGCCGCCACCTAAGGAGGGCGAAACGGTCTCGGGAGCGGGGCGATGCGGGCGGCAGCGGCTGCCATCAGGGGGAGGGGGGGGCGGGTCACAACGACCGCGGCTGCCACCACGACGACGACACGGACAACGGCAGCAGCAATGGCGGCGGAGGGCACGACGACATCGACTGCCCGCGCGGGGACAGCCACGACGGCGGCGGCCAGCGGCCGCCGCCACCGCGCAGCAGGGGCGAGGCGAGCATGGCGCCAGCGGTGGCGCTCGGCAGCCCCGCCGGGCTGCCGCGGCGGGCTGCCGCGGCAAGGGGGGCGAGCACGGCGAGGGCGGCGAGGGGACGCCTCCTCCTCCTCCTCCTCCTCCTCCTCCTCCTCCTCCTCCTCCTCCTCCTCCTCCTCCTCCTCCTCCTCGCCCCCAGCTGCGCAGCGGGACGCCCGGCGCGCGCCCCCTCTGCGGAATGGCGGGGCGGGGGACATCGCCTCGGGGGATGGGGCCGCAGGGAGGACGGCGAGGGGGGAGGTCGCCACGGCCGCGTCGGGCGAGGAAGGGGGAGGGAGTTGCTGGAAATGGAGGGTTGCAGTTACAGCAGGGGCTCGACCACGAGAGGCCTTCCGCAAGAACCCGACCCCGAGGCCCCAGGACGCCCACTGAGCTCTGGTGTGGGTGATGTCACGGCTCCCGTAGCAAAACCATCGAAACCCAAGAAACCCAGGGAACCGTGGTTGGAGTCGGGACAGCCGTGTGGCCCTGCCACACGCTCCAGGCGCGACTGCCTGAAAGACGCGGACCTGGGAGGCTTGGAGCAGCAACGCGGAGCGACGACTGCCGTCCCCCCCCCCCGGGGACAGGGCCGAGAGCTCTGGGCCGGGGCCCCGGGGCGCCGAGAGGAGCCGACGGGGTCCCAAAGGCGAGGGCCGCCCCCCGGAGCAGGCTCCGCGGGCCGAGAGCGCCCGGGGCCCAGGCGCAGAGCCGCAGGCCACGGCGGCTCGGCGGGGGCGGCAGCGGCGGCGGCGGCGGCGACGGCGGCGGCGGCGGCGGCGGCGCGCGGACGGCCGCCTGGGCAGGGAGGGGCAGGGACGACGGGGGGGAGCAGGGAGGGACAGGGAGGGACCGGGAGGGACGGGGGGGGGCGAGGGAGGGAGGGGAGGCGAGGAAGGGGGACAGGAGGGCGGGAGTGGAGCGAAGGGAAGGGAGGGGAGGATGGGGAGGGGAGGGGAGGGAGGCTAGGTGCGCTCGCGTCATATCTGACATCCTACCCCTCCCTCCCATCCCTTACCATGGCGCAGATCCCCTCTCGACTCGCACAGTCGGACGTCGAGCAGGGCAATGATCCCGAAAGGGTACGCGATGCATTGTAGAGCACGGCATGGCATGGCGTAGAAGAGCACCGCAAAGCGCAGTATCAACCTAGCATTGCATTGCACGCCGTGGCATGGCACGGGAAATGACGCCAGTGCTGCAGCGGGAGCACGAGTCGAAACGAGCGGAAGCGCGGAAATGAGGCCAGCGCTGCAGCGGGAGCACGATTCGGAACGAGCGGAAGCACGGAAATGAGGCCAGCGCTGCAGCGGGAGCACGATTCGGAACGAGCGGGGCCCGAAAATGAGGCCGGCGCCTCAGCGAGAGCAGCATTTTGGAAAAAAATGCAGGCGAAAACCCAATTCCGGGGAAACCTGTGTGTAAAAAACAATACGCGGGGGGGGGGTCGGACACTCCCAGGACGTCATCAGGGGAAGAGGGAGAGTAGTATTCATATTGAGTAACTGTGAAGGGAGGGAGAGAGAGAGAGAGAATGCTACTCACGCGGAGCGGCACCCGTGCACTTCCCCAAAAGAAGCGCTCGCGTCGCCCCACGGGGCGAGGAGGAAGGGGCACGATGGAGAAAAGGTCCATCAAATACTACTCCGTCAACCGTCCCACGGGCAGAGCAGGCGCAGAATCTGAGCACATCCACGAAACGACATACACTGAGCGCCCCGAACCGCTGCTGCTGCCAGGCAAGGACGAGGGGAACGAGGAGGAAGAGGCGGCGGAAGAGAAGGAGGAGGAGGAGAAGGAGGAGGAGGAGGAGGAGGAGGAGAGGGGGAGGACGGGCCACCAGACAGGGAGCGAGAGGACTGGAGGACTCCCCCCCTCACTCGGCCAGGCAGATTTGCCACCCCCCAGCCGCCAGGGCCGCCAGAGCGAGGTGCCGTGGTGGGCGCCTGCCCGCCGGCGCGTCACCTTCTGCATGGGGGGGGGGGGGGGGGGCGGGAGCGCGGCGGGGGCAGCGTGGGGCCAGGAGACGTGCATGGGAGCGCAGAGGGCGGGGGCGAGGGGACGTGGATGTCGAGGGGCTCGGGGGTCGCCACGAGGAGGGGACGTCCCATGGTAGGGTGCACCCCCCGCTGCATGCGGGCGACAACCCCGGACCCAGGCCGAGGGGATCGCGAAGGCCGCGACGCTGCAGAGGGAAGGAGAACAAGGAGGAGCAAGAGGAGGAGGAGGAGGAGGAGGAGGAGGAGGAGGAGGAGGGAGAGGGAAAGGAGGAGGTCGAGCAGCAGGTGGCAGAGGAGGGACAGCGGGGAGAGGGCCAGGAGGAAGAAAACGAGGGCCAGGGACTGGATCAGCGGCAGCTGCAGAAGCCGTGTTGAAGCGGAGGAGGAAGAGGAGAACGATGAGGAGGAGGCGGTCGAAGGTCAACGGTCTTGCCGCATGGGAGCTGGCGAGGCCCCAGCAGGCTGACGCCACGGGGTCCGAATCGGGTGGGTGGATGGTCGTTCAGGGAACGGGGGAAGAAGAAGAAGAAGAAGAAGAAGAAACAGAAGAAGAAGAAGGAGAAGAAAAAGAAGAAGAAGAAAGGAAAAAAAGAAAAAGACGATGAAGAATAAGAAGAAGAAAAACAAGAACAAAAAGAAGAAGAAGGAGAATAATACAGATGCCGTTCACATCATAAGTGCTCTGGCAAATATGACGGCCGTCGGTAGCGCACCTCCAACGGCACAGCCGTGAACCATAATGCCACGCAGGGAGACTACTGCCCATTAAAGCTCTGAGCTGAAGTGTTTGCCGACCGACCGCCAAGCACCCATGCCCTTCCAGCCCTCCCGACCGCCAAGCAGAAGGAGATTCAAGGGAGGGGATGTGGAGGGGACTGGAAGGGATGCGAAGGGAGGCAGGGAGGGAGCACGAAGGGGCGAGGGGAGAGGGGCGGGATAGGGGCGGGGAGGGAACGGAAGGAACGGTCAGGAAGGGAGTTGAAAGGCGTGGAACGGAAGGCAGGGAACGGGGAGCAGGGAAGCAAAGCAGAGCGGAGCGAAGAGACAATGGAGAGGAGGAAAAGACATGAGAGAGGTGGGGAGGGACGCGAGGAAGGGGAGATCAGAAAAGAGGGGGAGAGAGAGTGAGAAAACGCAGGAGGTGTAAGTGTGCGCTGCTGGTTGCCACGCATTGTAAATGTGTATATGTGTACGCTACTGGCTGCTACCATTCCCCTGCGAATGCTCGTCCATCACATACGCACTGTGACGACGCGCCTGTCGTACTTTCTCTAGCCGCAGCTTGGACCGCGTTCGCATTGCAGAAATTCGTACTGAGAACTTCCAAGCATCAGCAATGCTATGGGGTTCGCGCTTCGAAACACTTGCACTTGTCAACCCATGAATCCCCAGGACGAATACACTTATCAACCCATACACTTGGGCCCAGAACGACGGCTTCAAGTCTTGAACAAACGCGTATGAAATAACCGCCGGCGTATCCTATGAAATTCGCGCGGGTCCACTTGTGGCACGCGGGTGTTTGTGTCGGTGGATCCGATTTCCGTGCGCGCAGATCCGATTTCGGATTTTCTGGATCCGTGCTCGGTCTTATGTTTTACGGTGGATCCGATTTTTACCCCGTCTCATATGTATGTAATTAAATTCAAACGGGACACCGGACGAAATCGGATCCGCGGACCCCGGAACCCACCCGTGTTAAGATTCTACGGGGCAAGGGGGTTCGGTTATGACCTTCCCAAGATGGATCCTCAAATCAACTGTCTCGCGTGCTCCCTTTAACTTTCCGCGCACGCGGGTCCCACTCAACGTAATTACATATCTCTCCCCACGGTTGCTGCACGCAACTCGTCCAGACGCAGTTCGTTCGGCGGCGCCTACGTTAGCTGTCCTACTCATCATCGCCATTTGCACCGGAAAATATTTCAACCTGCGTAAGTATCAATCCCGCCATCCCTCTGGGCGAAGGTGGTACAACGAATTGTTTTTCTTCCCCTGCTCGGGGAAGGGGTTGATCACGGCTATCTATTAATAAACACCCCGTTTCCTTGGCGACCGACAGCCAACCCGAAAACATACTGGCACCCATGTCCCCACTACGCTATCTATTTCAAAAAATAGTGCTAAGTGCACTCTGCACCACAATCTGGATCATGCGCGGACTCCCCGCGATCACTTTGCATTCGGTTCTGACAGTGGCGGTGGAGCGGGGGGACGGCGGGGATGTCCACATATTGCCAGCTGTGCGCAGGGCTACCATCCTTGACAAAATGCAAAGTGCAATTCGCGATTAAATCTGGATCATGCGCGGCCAACCTGCGTTCACTGTCCATTGGTCTTGAACAGGGACGGCGAAGGTACTAGCGTACTGCCTGCTGCGTGCAGGCCCACAAAACACCACGATGGCCACCCCGCCGCGATTGCGCATTGGTGTTCGCCAAGGATGGTGGGGGCCGGCATGCTCCCCGATGTGTGATGTCACGTGCGCGGGTGCACCTGGCACATTTTTTGCGCGTGCCCCGAACGAAGCGCACGTGGCGCGGCTGAAGAATTCGGTACACATGGCGCACGTGTGGCACGTGGCGCATCTGGCACACCAGGCGTGCCTGGCACGCTTCGGCCCCAGGGAAGCCTAGCGCACCTTGCGCGCGTGGCGCGCCGGGCCCCAGCATGGCGCTCATGGGTTCCCTTCTGGTTCCTCGTAGCTGCCCATCCAGACGCGACCGCTGGAAATGCTGAGGTTCGGGTGCTCATGGTGTGCTGGGAGAGCGTGTGGCAATGAACGGCATGGCTTGGAGGCGGGGGGGGGCCTTGATCATTGTATATCATAATCATAAACATCCCCTCCCCCACGAGCAGTCACAACCCAGACCCACGACACCAATGACCACACACACATATCATTTTTGTCATTTCTGTCTACCACATATTCAAGTGTAGCCAGCGTGGACACCGAACACTGTGTCTCTGGAAACATACGTTGTGCAATCGATGTATTGCAATATTTCTGGTGCAATATGCGTGGTGCACTCTATGTTGTACGACATGGTGTGTGCACTGTGTTGTGCAATCTCTGATGCGCTATCCGTTGTGTGCAATGTGCTATGTACGCTGTACAAGCAGCGAGTTGTCGACTCCAGTGTTCGCGCCATCCTCCCACCCACCCACCTGCAATTTGGTTTGCGAAACCGACGAGGCGGCGATTGTGACGCCTGTCTGGCGCCGGCTGGCGCATCGCTGCGGCAGCGCTAGCGCGCACAGGCTCGCACGCAGAGCGGCCAGCTAGTCTGGCGCGACCGACGCGGCCGCGGTGGCGCTGACCGCTGGGGGCTTCCCAACGCGTCTCACAGGCCGCGCTGAAGTACGGGCACTTCACTGCGAGTCGGTGAGTCCGGCGGGCGCGGTATCATGGCGACGCCGACAACGGCAGACGCCATAATGATTGCAGCGATGCTAGTGACGATGATGACGATAACGACGGCGAGGCAAATGACGGCGCCGATGCTGATCACGCCGATGACGATGAGGGTGTGCACGCGTCAGCGAGGAAGTTTTGAAATCCGCATAGTATTTGACTGGGATCGTGCACCCCCCACACGCGCGCAATGGCCTTCGAACGATTTCGACATGCGCGCGTGAGGGGGCCCGCTTGGTCGCATTAAATGAAAATGTCAAAAGCCGTAGATTTCCTCAAGCGTGCGCAAAACTCTGTTTCAAAACTGCTGTTGCAAAACAATGCGTGTTATACGTTGTCGGGACTCTCGATCTTGGAATCCTTCCGAAACCTTATATGTTTACGCGGCATGCGCGCGCGACGACGCAAGCGTGTGTATTTCGTCAAATGTAGTTTGCCCCAGAGTCGTAAACATGGATGACTTTTGATAGTCGAAATTATGTTTACAATCGACGATTGGTCAAAATCATATGTAAACTGCACATCCCCAGGGCGGGGGGATTATCCTGGGAGGGGGGTAGCTCCGAATTCCTGCTTCGGAAAGAGAGTACGTAATGAAAAAAATAAAAGCAGTGCAAATCAATGCAGATCAACAACAGGCACTGCAAAGCAATGCTATGGCAACGCAGGGGCAACGCTAAGCACGGCGTGGTAATGCGAAGCAGGGCAAATCAACGCAAAGCGACGCAAAGCAACACAAGACAGCACTGCAACGCAACACGGTACTGCAACGCAAAGCAAGGCCAGGCAATGCAACGCTCTGCTCCGCAATGCAAACCACGAAGAGCGGCGCAAAACATGCAGCGCAGCGCAACGCAACGCAACGCAACGCGGCGGCGACGGCGAAGCCACGGCGACGGGCGGCGACGAGGCGGCGGGGCGGCGACGGGGCGGCGACGGCAGGCACGGAGCCGCCAAACCGACACAAGCCCAGGCGACGCGGGGGCGACGAGGCGGCGACGGGGCGGCGGCGGCCGGCACGGAGCCGCCGGGCCGAAACGCAGGCCCAGTTCTTGTTGGAACTGAAGCAAGAAGCCACGAGCGCAGGAACTGTTTGGGAAATGTGTGGTGCAGTCTACGCTGCGCCATCCATGTGGTGCAGCGTATGCTGCGCAATCTACGAGGTGCAGTGTGCGTGTGTGGTTGCGCAATATGTGTGCTGCAACCTACGGTGTGCAGCGTGTGCGTGGTGCAACCTGTGCTCGGAGCGATCAGAAAGGGCGCCGCATTCTTCCCATGCCATCTGCGCGGCGCAATCCAACGGCGGCGACGAGGCGGCGACGGCGACAGCGTAGCCGCCAGACCGAAGACGCGGCCAGTACGACGGGCGGCGACGAGGCGGCGACGGGGCGCACAGTTTGTGTGGTACAGCATATGTTATGCAATATATGTGACACAACAATATGTGCTGTGAGCGATGTAAAACAGCGCGCCGCAGGCGCGAAAATTTCCCATGCAACCTACGTGGCGCAATCCAACGGCGGTGGCGACGCCGCGAGGGGGCGGCGACG